CCATATGCTATGTCTTTTGTGCATGTGGTGAGTAGTGGAGCAGGCCCCACTGTACGTATTCGTAAGAAAACAAAAACAAAAAAACTAGAGCTCCCTCCACCACTCACCAAATGTACATAATATTAGTAGAATGAATCTTCTGCTAAAACATGGGACCATACACCGCCATATGCTATTTCTTTTGTGCATGTGGTGAGCAGTGGAGCAGGCCCCACTGCACGTATTCATAAGAAAACAAAAACAAAAAACCGAGAGAGCTACAGGCATCTTCATCCTAACCCATAACTGCCGACATGCAGACCTGAACGCCAATCTTCAGCATATATTGGTGGGCGGCCAGCCGGGGAAATGCAAGTTGTGACTTCTGCGAAGTTCGCGGGGCAGGTCGTTACTAGGCGACTACCCCCTTCTCGCGAACTTACCCCACCACTGCGTGGGATTCGCAGAAGGGAGGGGGAAGGCCAGTTTCCATACCACGCCTAAGAAAAAAATTGGAATGAGCCCTATTTAGTATTTTATGCTTTGCCATTTTGAAACTTCTGAGGGTAGGGCCTGCGGTAATTGAAATTTGGCAGCCCTTGCCCAAAAAAAAAGTTTGGGCCGGGGGCGCGGCCGCCGGTTTGCGAGCTCGCGCGGCGCGTTTAACATTTTTCCGAGTTGGGGACCCTAAGGAATGACAAAACCCCTACTTTTTTTTTTTTTTTTTGGACCTAATTTTTACAGTGCAGTGCGCTTGGGTGCGCTGCGCGCGGTGCGCAATGCGTGCGCAAATCCGAACACCGAGGTGCGGCGCAACTATGAACTTAATTGCCTTCACTGTCTTCACATTAAAAAAAGAAAAAAAAAGAGAAGAAGAGAAAAAAAATCAATGCTCTGGATTGTTCCCTCACCTTCTGCAGTGATTCCACCTCCATCAACCGTTCAATTTGTTCAGCGATTGTTGCCTGCACAAAACAAGCCAAAAAGGGTAAATGATGAGCTCTCATCTTCCTAATGTAGAACTGTTACCGCTGCTGTTTTTAATCTCATTGAGATGAGATTGGCTGTGCATACATGACAACCATTCACGCTCGCTCTCTCTCTCTCTCTCTCTCTCTCTCTCTCTCTCTCTCTCTCTCTCTCTCTCTCTCTCTCTCTCTCTCTCTCTCTCTCTCTCTCTCTC